GCTAAACTACAAGCAGAGTTTGAATCTTTGAAAAAGCTGAACACACCGACAATGTCCCGACTGCTGGCAATATGCAATATGGAACAGGAAAAACAACAACAACAACAACAACGGGAAACAAAACAAATATTACCGAAACCGGACTCTACGGTTGCACAACAACCACTACAGCAGATAATGTTACAGTCAGTAATGGTTCCAGGTTCTGGAATCAGTGGCATCATTAATTCAAATGTTGGAAAACTGCAAACTGTAACTGTCCCAGTTACTCAGTTCAATTCGGTTTCAGGCTCATTCACGTTCCCAACACAGACAATAATCACTGTTGATGGTTTAAACAAACCTGTTTCGCAAGTGCCGCTTGTCACAAGGCGAAGTAAGCGTACAAAAAAACATCATGCGAGTGAGGAATTTGAATATCAGCCTGTGGTAAAGAGAAGCAAGGTAGATGCACAACCAATCGGCATGGCGGTTAATCAAGAAAAAGAAAGTAGTGTGATGTTTACAGCAGCGGATTCGTCTCAATTGCACACAGGTCGCGATGAAACTGATGGCGTTCAGTTGTTACAAGAGACACATGTCAATGTACAGAAAGTATGTGACATACCACAGGAAAACCGACCAGAAACTGACGAACTTGTTAAAATGCCTACAGCTATACTTAGTCGCAGACGTAGCTCAGTCGCACTTGGGAATAAACCGTCCCCTCTACGGGTATTGCACAATGATCCAGAATTCCGGAGCTCACCAACTGATAGTGTTAACAGCAGCAAGAATGCCTCTCCAGTAGACAGCAAATTTGATGCAAAAGACTTGGAGCTTGCAGTTCCTCTGCAGGAAGATCATACTGAGGACACCAAACATGACGACGCACCAAAGACGGTGCAAGCTCAGAATGACCAAACCGTGACAACATGTTTACCAAAGCCTGAACTTCCAGGCTCTCTCGCTTCTGAACAAGTGAAAGAGACTCCTAGCGTCAGTTCAGCGGAGAGTTCTCAGACAAGTCTACTTTTTTCACAGTCGCCTCTACATCTGTTGCTGAATAATCGAAGCTCAAGCAACTCCCCCGCAAGGTTTATGAGTCGTCCTAGCTCTCTGAGCAGTATGGCGGAATTAGAGAGAGCATTCGGTAGCGGGGAATCTCCTTTCCCGATTGTGTCACCTAACCCAGTCTTTGGAAAACGCAGTAAAAGTGCGTCACCAAGTCACTTTCAGTCTCTGATAAATAGCCAGGCTCAGGCAATGTTAGCTGGCATGTCTCAACAGACTGCACCAACCAAAGTGAACTCAGTTAGTCCTGTCTTGTTGCCACATGGAGGGATGAACACCAGTACTAGCCCGTCTGATTTCAGTTTTAACAACTCCATGTTTTCCTTCAGCTTTAACCAACTGCTACAGGGGGCTTCCAATCAACACACGCCTGTATCGTCCGCACCCGCTCAGCCAGCTCAGGCGATGAATTCCATCCCAACTACTGCACTGCCTTTGGTACCAACAACGATGCAAAGTATGCCTAACACCATCCTACAGATGCCTCATATGACGCAGCTATCTTTACTGCAAGCTCCCCAAACTAACGGCAACATCGTGCATTTACCGACTACCACAACGTTTGTGCAAACGCCGATGTCATCCAGGGTTCAAACATCGATGGCTCATCTTTCTGTTCCAATGTACCAAACATCGCATCCCAATCAAATCAACCAGGTGGCACCTGTGCCATTTTCATTCACCCAAGCACAAGTGGCACAATGGTCGACCCCAATTACCGGTAGTGCACATAACAGGGCTGCTCTAATGGCTGGTATGAGCCCCATCATGCCATCAGAAACCTACAGCCCTAAGTCTCTAACACCAGGTGACAAATCGTATCAAAACATGCTATTCACACCGCGCACACAAATGTCTCCTGCGACAACGTTAAACACAACACCTTTGATTAACACTGAACTGAACAACAGCAGCTTTTTCCATACTCCAAACATGTACTCTATGGCGAACACTGGTAATCTGCTTCAGCATAACGCTCCACAGGTGATTGGACCCTCAGCATTTCAGCACGTCCCGGCTAACCTTCCAGCAAACGGAAAATTCACAACATCTCGAAGACTAGCACTTCCACAGTTCTCCGAAAGTTTTAAGCAACCACCTCAAGCGTAAGACAACCCACCTCTACGTGAATTCAAAACTTTCGGACTTTTGAATTTGTATAATAAAAGTTATATTTTATTTTATTTTTCAAATTGTATAAAATTGTAATATTTATATTAATATTTGCTCATGTACATAGAAACTTGATTCTCATATGATTCTTTTACATTTTATTTTTTTTGAGAGAGAGATAGATGGAGAGATTTATGCTCGCAACAAACACCAGTACAGTACTGAAATATTATTATTTGGCTGACTTTGATGTCCCCTTTTTTCTTTTGCTTGATTAATAAAACTTACCTTAATTCATCAGTACATTTGCTGGATTCACCTACTATGAAAGCATTATTGTTCATTAGTATTTAACTTTCCTATTTTGAACATAATTACTGGTTTTGAATTCATGAATTTTATCATGAAACGCTGTAGTGTAAATTCCATGTGGATTTAATTTAGCAGCTTTCGCTTAATGGCGAAATCAAAACCCAGTGAATAATTAATGCATTTACAGTATTTGGTTGAATACTAAATTAAAGGGTTATTGTAATTTTTGCAGTATCATGAGACTGTATTCTAACATTCTTAGGACTGACATTTTGTGGCGTTAAAGCGTGGTGGTTGTCGCGCAGCGTGTGATCGAATTTCATGTAAATAAACAATGTATTTTACATGCGTTTTATACGTCGCTATGAGTCCCATATCAAACAGGATGCGGCGTAAAGACTGTCGTCCTTTAAACTTTTTAATTTAATCCCCTTGCCCCTGTATATAACAAATTACAATATTATTTTTCCTTCTATAATGGTGCTTCTCATTGGTTGTAATAAACCAATCACAGTATGGCTTTCACAGGCTACTGTATAAGTGTTTACAATTTAGTTTTTGATTGGTTAGATTTTGTTTATCTAACCTTCGTTTAATTTTAAATTTTTTGTTAAGATTTATTTTTTTTAAATTTAGTCGCTGCTTGAAATGAATGGATATTTTTTTTTTTTAAATAGTTTTTATTTTGTAACTATTGCATCAAAGTGCACTCGTTTTTTGATACTGAAGTTAAGTTGTGAACAACAACCTGAAATTTCAAATTTTGTAATGTTTTTGATGTTTACATTTTTTTAACTATTTTAGTGGGTGGAGTTATTTTGAAGGAAACAGTACTTTTCAAGAAGTCATGAAGAAAAAACAATTCAGTTCTTTTTCAACCAAGTTTAGTAATTTGTTCTACTTTTTGTTTAACATGATGAAAAAAAAAATCAGTTAAGCATATTTTTTATTTGATTTTTCAACAAAGTTTAGTAATTTGTTCGTTTTTTTGTTGTTTTTTTTCAAAAAAGTTTATTTTTAAAAAAATGGTGCTCTGTGGTGATATTCCATTATATTTTGGTCACACAATCTGAATAATATGCATGGTATTTCAGCCTTGGACTCTGAATAGCTGACAAAGAGACTTGAACCTCACGGATTCATCATTTGGGAAACATTTTTCAAGAGATATCAGTTGGTGTTATAGTAATAAGTTATTTTTTTTATTTACTAACAAACCATATCTAATTTAAATTCAAATTTCAAAAATATTTTCATAAAAATCCTTCATCATTAATTTGTTGATTTGTAAATAATAAAATATTTTTTGAATAATCACATACCGTGATAACGTTTTATTTTTTGATAATATTTTTTGACTTAAATTCAGATTTGACATTTTAAATGGAGATAGTGGTTTTTCAGTTTCTCCCATTTTAAAATATTTGTCTATTTTTGCTAAAACTAGTAAACATGTAAAAATAAAAATGTTAAAGTCGATAACATTGAAACATCTTTTTTTTTTTTTCTAATATATTTTTTGCTACAATTGGAGTGTCCAGTAATTGAAACTAATAATATTTCAAATTTTTAAAATACAAATTTTCTTTTAAATAGTTTTGGATTGTATTTTAGTTTCAAATTTTTCACTGACTTTATTTGAAGGTAGTTGGTACAGAATTGTATTTCATTCAGAATTTGAAGTTAAGTTTTATTTTTAACCTGAGAATTTTTAATTTGATTTTGTTTTACTCTAAATTGTTTGTATTAATAAGTTTCATGTTTATTTCGAAAAAGATCCTCAAGTTTTTTTTTTTACTACGAATTTCAGATCATTACATTTATTAAAGTCACAGCTACTCAGTCGAAATAAATTTAAAGACTACATAAAGTGAGAAATTCACAAAACAAATTCTGTTTACAGATTTATTGACAATAGATCATCTCATCTTGTGTTTTCCCATTAACCTTTTTACCACCAGTTCCCTCTTTTCATCACAAATTCACAAAATAATTCTGTTCATAGTCTGCACTTTCCTTCAGAAAATTTGTACAAAAATAGCTAATTCTTTTGATTAAAAACTGATAATTGAATCAAATTTTGTCAGTTGGCTCTAAAATTAGGGTTCATTTCCAGAAATATTGAGGAATAGAAGAAACAAAGTTCAGAAAAATTTGGGTGAGAAAGTCTGGTGGGGAAAGGTTAAACCTTGTATGCAAATTGCCAACAAAATTTTGTTGAGCTGTACATTTCTTCACAATTTTAGTTTAGTTTGACCATTATAACAAGCTCCAATACATAATACTGTGGAATACTTTATTTTCGCTGGAATTAATTTTCGCTGAAAAGGCTTTTTGGGCATTTTGTATGGAATTTATTTTCACTGATTTTTGATGAGTTTAGTGTGAAATATAGAAAAAAAAATATATTCGGTGGATTTTATTTTCACGGAATCATCCCTTCAGCGAAAACAGCGAAAATAAAGTATTCTACAGTATTTCATGTGTAAGCTTGTTCGATTCATCAAGGGACATTGCAGATTTATAAAATGCAGTTCAAAAACTACACATTGTTTATTTCAGATTTTGTATTTCAGTTTTTATTTTTGTTTACTAATTAAGTTGAAACAAAGAACAATTTAATATATTGGGATAAGATCCCAAAACACTACTGCTTTGAGACTTAAATTTGAATTGAAGTATTAATTTTTTTTCCCAGTTTTTAAGGGCTGGAGTTTGTTTCATCTGATTATTTAATTTTTTGTTGCAACAAAAGAGATATGGGGTGTAGAATGTTACAGGGGTTGTGCTTCTTGAGAATAAATTTTAAAATATTAAATTTGATTGTTTTTGTCTATTTCTAGATATTCACGTAGATAATAAGACTAGCTCAATTGTGTACGAAACACCTTGCAACAGATGCATGTTGTGAGGGGGGAACTCAGAACAACTCCCAATGTCCTGTGGTGTGGCAACTTGCTCACGAGTCGATTGAATTTAAATTTCTTCAAAGTCAACATAAGTTCCCCATCAACAAATCATATCCATCAAGACGCTGCCGGACTATCTCCCTTTAACACTGTGTCATCAGATGACGTTTACAAAGCCCTTTAGCAATACCCCGTCTTCTGATTTTAAACACTGTCATATTTACGGCAATCTTAAAGCAAAAAGTTGTCACCTGCACATACATGTACTCTAGATGGCCATAGCGTGTTGTTGTTTACAAACATGCCTCTACCCATGAGCCATTGCATTTTAGCGTGCATTGTTATGATCGCTTGAGACTCGATTCCCCATGCGTGCGCAGATATTGTGCACCGTTCTGACCACCGAAAAAGAGTCGTCATCGGTGACCACGAATGTGCATTAGTGAATGTAATATCTGTAATGTCACAGGATTCACATTTATACCCTATGTTCTTTTTCATGTACATCAATGACATGGCCATGTTGCGAAAGATGATAAATTCTCCAATCCTGTTAGTAAGACTGATTGCAACCACATGAAATCCGGTGTTTGTAACACAACAATTTTTCCACAAAATTCTCTAAAAACCCTCCTTTCTGATTTAAAATGTCAAACCCTAATGTTGGAAAATGTAAATTTCATGCATTACTATCCAACAGGTCTACTCATATCACCTGTTATTATAAACTACTGTAGAATACTTTATTTTCGCTTGGAATTTATTTTCGCTATTTTCGCTGACGGGATGATTCCGTGAAAATAAAATCCAGCGAATATACTTTTTTTCCTATATTCCACACTAAGCGCATAAAAAATCAGTGAAAATAAATTCCAAGCAAAACGCCCAAAAAGCCTTTTCAGCGAAAATTAATTCCAGCGAAAATAAAGTATTCTACAGTATTCTCTAAAACTGCTTGTAAGGTTACACTCTAATATCAATAATAATGGTTTATTCAGCCGTGTTTATTGGACACTACCTAATGGTTTAAAATCACATGAATTAAGAGAAATACGGAACAAGTGCGAGTCCTCAAATATTTTATGCATAATTCTGGGAAGGGGGCACTTAGTAAAAACTTACCAACGGATATGCGAGACACTGCAATTTATGGGATGCCTTTTCAAGGGTCAAGTAATACTTTTTGAAATTCTCGGAAATCAAAGCTTAAAGGGTGGTGGTCGTCGCGCCTCGTCCTGTTCAATATGGGACTCATAGCGACGTATACAACATGTATAAAATACATTGTTTGTTTACATGAAATATGAACATGTGTGGCGACTACCGCCCTTTAACCACTTCAAGAGTTGGGTTTTCTTCGAAAATTTTTTTCAAGATTTGGGTTTTCCTCGAAATTTGTTTTTTCAAGCAGTTGCTTTTTAAGGAATTTGGCCTCTGGTCTGTGATTTTTGGTGCCTCCCATACCAGTATATAAATAATACAAGTGCCCCCCCCCCCCCAGAGCATTTATTATACAGTCGGTATTTCACATAATAGACCTAGACCCAAATAAAGCTTAATGAATGATCTCAAACTAGTGCAATGTGGTGATTTTCCTAAATGGATTTATTCTACCTTGAAGTACACATTAGGCCACACTGATTTAATTTTATGGATGACATCCTCTGGAGACCCAAAAACTAATGCGAGAGGGCGAAAAAAAAATGCTGCTAAAACCACAGGACTGCGGAGCTGGTATTACGAATTGAACCACAGAACAGAGTGTACTAAAAAAAC